AAAACAAGCTGCGTGAAGATCATTTTTTTTTTTTCCAGGCTCTTTCCCGCAGCAAAGTCATGCCCCAAGACAAAACAACTGCTGATCTAAAATGAAATTTGTAATTTCCAGTTTTTGTACAGACTCTTCACTACAGGACCCCATCTTGGGGGTAGAGGGGAAACAGCTCACTCCTCCCCCCAAGAAATTCTGCCTAGAACAAGAGAGAAATCATGACTTGCAATGGTTACTTTCCAAAAGTACTAAACACAGACTTTATCTTCAAATTGGTCTATGGATAATCAATTTTCAGAACTACACAAGCTTTTTTTTTTGTTCTCCTTTAACACTTGAAAAAACTGAGAAAAGGATTTAAGGACTTTCTTAATCCCAAAGAACCAGCACATGGATTACTGGCAATCGGATCTAAATGCAGTTGTGAAAACCAGTTAGAGAAAAGGTTACTCTTAGGATAGGTCAGCAGAGCGTGTGAAAGCAGTGATATTCGTGATGAATGTTCATTGTATTATTTTGTACTAAAGCAGTCAATAGGGATTATTTTTCTGTGCAATTCAGGTGCACAGCATTTCTGTTAGTGCTGACACATGCCAGCGGGATTTAGCACGGCATTCCAAGCACTAATATTCCTACTAAAGAGTCAAGCAGGTCCAGATTATTTACTGAGCCTGACCAGTTAGTGTGTCTGGGCACAGAACACCTGGAAACAAGACAAACAGTTGAGTAACCCACAAAAGAAAAGCTTTGCAAGGTGCAAAGCCCAAGGAGAAAGTTTAACCTGACCTTTTTTCCCTTATTGCTATCTCCTTTGTTAGCAATGCAAGCTGTGAGAAGGGGCGAGTTTGAACTCATGTCCCGTGAGTGTATTATACATTCAAGCTGAATGTACAATAAGCTGAAAGGCAATTACAGTCCTGGATCATAAAGTCATAAGGAATTTACATTCCTGGTTTAAAATGGGAAATTGTCTTTTGCTTATCAACTAGCTGGTGCTGCAATTTATATAGCCCAAGCTTAACATGAATTGGGAAATATGGCTGTGCAAAGTCCTCATCATCTAAGTGTTATCAGAGAGCTTTCCCTTCGGATAAGTATGTACCGAAAGTACGTATATACACCTACGAACAAGCCACGGTCACAGGCAAAAGTCCTAATGTCAGACATTGCTACATGATTGTTAAATGCTTGCAAGTTGTATAGGCTGAATTTTACCTACACCAAAGAGGAAAAATATTCCAAAGTCAGTGCCAGGATGAGGGGCTAGTTTACTTAGCCTCATTTTTCTCTTACTAGAGTCTAAAAACACTAGCTGTTTTGAAAGCTTGAGGTTTGGTTTTCCTGTTCTCTTAAAGAGTCAGTTCTCCAAATGTCTTCAGTGTTTAACCACAAACAGGGTGGGCTGGGACCATTAATACCTTAGCTCCACAGTGCCTTGAGCAGGTCTTTTCTGGAGGGAAAAAAAAAAAATCTCAAACCACACACAACCACCCACAGATGGCATTTTTATAATTTACTTCAACACCTATGTACTTCCTGCACAGTACACAGTAATGTTTGTTTCTTCAACAAAATAAAACCGCTTTCAGATGACACATCATGTATCAGATGACAGGATCTGTTCCTGGGCAGAACATCAGGTTTTCAAGTGAAACTTCAGTTTATGATCTGTCAATAAGAATTAGCAGACTGTACATATAGGCAAATCTAGAGGTAAAGCTTAACAGTATGTTAATGAAAAATTTTGATTATCCTGTAAAAATAAGGACTGATAATCCCATCAATGGCTAAAGAAACAAGAGTTGCACAACTTTTGCAATAAACTATGAACATTTCTGCTATTTTTCCTATATCGTATTACTAAAAAGAAATCCACAATCATTTTCAATGAAGAAATTACCAAGATTGATAAAGCTTACCTCTCGGAGTGTAGGTTTGCCTTTGAAAAATTCCGTGTTTTTGCTACTTTTTGGTGGGTTAAATCTTAAATTTAGAAAAGCACATCCATTCGCAATAGCCTCTAAAGGAGCCGGCCCTTCATATGGAAATCCGAGACCAACAAATAGCTGAAATACAGAAAACAAGGACTATCTCAATTTTCGCTCTTTACAAGAACTGAAAGCTAAGAGCTAACTTAAAAGAAACAATAATGCATTCTAAACGTACCAGCCTAAAAAAATATAACGTTAAGAAGAAAATGGGAGAAATTCAGCAGCTCACCCCCTCCTACCCAAGCAGTAACGGAACGTCCTGTAAAACACATTCGACAATAATCTTCTGTAATGACCTGAGGTGGTTTTTCATGGAGCTGAGACAACAACGGACCCTTTCAGTTATTTTTTTTTTGGGAAAAAAAAAAAAAAAAAAAAAAGAAGTCATTTGGTGGTTTGATTGGTGTTGAAATGAAACTGCTGGGGCTCTCTTGCAGGTACAGGCTTTACTGCAGCAACCTCACAGAACAGCTACACTACTGTTTTCCCTCTCTCCCCGACATCAGCTCACCTGCTGGTTTTGCCAATATGAACATGCTCCTGGCAAACTGATTAATTTTTCTAATTAAAACGGTAGATGGCAGCAAACACCAACTGAAGACACTGTACCTAGGCAGCAAGAGCTTGCATAGGATTAAGAGGATTCAACGCCTCCAAGGTAAATTGAAGGAGGAAAAATGCATCACAAAGCTATTCTTACATCAGCCGAGATTACAGGTGCTCTAGAAAAGGGAGTGCTTTTCTCCAATGTAAAGAAATTCAATATTTTTTCAGAGTTGTCTGGCTTTTATTTGGATCTTGACCCCTTTCCTGACCCAACATAATTAAAAACCCTGAATTAAATATAGGATTCTTCATCTTTATTTGAATGTCTGTATATAATGGGAGAATTACAAGCTCTGATTTGTAATGCAATTTCTCAGCACTGCTGAATGACTTAATGTATGTGTATGTGTATATATATATATATATATATATATATAGCTACTGCTTTTTTCAAGAAAATAAAGAGCAATCTTTGAAACTATTAGGATCATGTATTGAGGACATACGTATTCAAAGAGGTCAAACTATACTATTCTGCATTAAATTTTCTGCAACGTGAAAGTGAATCCTAGTAACAGAAGATTCAAAACTGAAGGCTTTTTCTAGGAGCTGAGCTTAACATTGATGCATAAACCTGTAGTCAGTACTGTTGTGCACAGGCACTGCAGCATCAATCCTCTCCGACCCATGGCAAAACCAATATAAATTCTGAGTTGGCTCATTTTAAAAAGAAAGTTAATACCTCTCAGCATAGTTGAGGACATACAATTTTCCCTGCATGGAGCTGAACACTGTTATTTCAGTATTCAATTTTCAGGTTAAAAAAGTCGCCTACTCGCAAAAAGTTTCTCAGCTGTCTCGCAGATTTAAATCTTACAGGATGCTCTGCAGTGGCTGATAAAAAAAGAGATCTGGAAGACTATCTCCACTAAAGCCAGATTATCTAAATTTGGGGTTTATATATGGCATAAGATACGTTACCTTTCAGTCAGAAAAAATACATAGTAAATTTCATCTCAAAAGAGGCTTAATTTAAAGAAAGGTAATCTCTTCAAAATAATGAATTACAGACATGAAACCATTTCATGCAGTCTGCACACATAATGTTATTTATTTAAACTACTCCTTAGTTCAGGCAGAAAACCAGCTGAGAACCAGCAATTAAAACCATCCGAAGCATCAATTCTCCTATGATCCGGTGTTTATCTGTTATGTAGAGAATGCTGGCTTGGTTGTTTCGTCTTTCACTTTTTTAATAAACTGCTGCTGTGCACTGCCAACCAGTTCTGCGTCTGACTGGTCCGTTTATTTAGGAGGAAGCTCCACAGGGAAAGAAACATGGTTTTATGTTTTGACAGCACAGAGCACGCTGTCAACACTTAATCTATAATAAATAGCTTACCACCTGTTTCGCATCCATTTTCCACCCTTACCTCTAAGCAGCACCATACCTTTGAAGAAAGCAAGGCGGCTGTGCCTGATAGCTAGAACAGTGCATGTGTGTGTGCTGCCTGTTGGCCTGAGGTTCCAGCCTGGCTCACAGCTGCCCGCAGCCCCCCCAGCTCCTTCTTTCAACCCTCCAAAATCTTCTATCACTCTCCATCACCTTGTCTTCATCAGCTCAGCTGAAATGCCCAAACTGAATCTAGACCCTGCTCCTGAAAATTGCCCTTTATTAATGTTTCTTGGTTGGGGGGGGGCTAGCATTGTGTATGGTATAAAGAGCAAAACAGAGGAATATCTTAATTGACTCAAGAAAGTCACATTCATTATGATTAAAAAAGCAAGCATTAGAAAACACAGGTCATTGCTGTAACTCATTCTTATGATGCTCTAATTTGCTAATCCTTTGAATTACATGCAGCTTGCTATTTCCAGAAAGGCTAAAACAATCTGTCAACGTACTTCCTAAAAGTATCTAACAACTGCTCCAAGTCGCTAATTGAAAAGGAAGAGGAAAAAGAAAAAAAAAAAAAAAAGAAAAAAAGCAGAAATAACAGGCAACAATTTTCAGGTACCAGTGAAGCAAGCATCCATCCCAGTACAGCTGAGGCTGTGTGGAAGACAAGGCTCCCTCCCACAAAGTGATAAACGTTTAGACCAGACTGTATTTCTGCTGTTTTGTGATATAAATGCACACTGTTGCCTCCACATAAGGTTGCTGACTATGGCTTTTAGGGTACCCTCTTACCGAACACTGTGCCCGGTAACACAGTCCACCGTGGGCAGCTGCCTTCACCCTATGGCTGAAGATCTAGAAAGCAAAACTCCAAATTTGACAATGTTGGCAACTCAACCGTGGGTACACACGGTTCAAAAATGTTAGCCCTGATCTTGCTTTGTTAGCTGCTGCAGAATTGCTATGCAGAGTAGAATTTCTTTATGCTTCACTGGTTGATTAGTGCTTGAAACCATTTCATTTTCTGCATGTAAGCATTTTTCTCACCTTTCAAATGTTTTTGAAAACCAGAACCATTATTTTTCATACAGTGCTTTAAGCGGGCACACGCCATGGTAGGCTCTGTATGCTAACACCCCATATAATGAGATGATTGCCAGGAGGAGTTTACCGTATAAAAGTAGATCTAAAGGAGACAACAGCAAATAAATACAGATGTAAAATGATCATGGTAATAGCAGTGTGTTTTTTTTTTTTTTTTAAAAACCATTTCCTTGTTTGCAAGGTCTGTGACCCAGGTGTGTCTGTGCCTGCAGTCTGCATGAATCAAAAAAGGAGATTCGTATCTGCAATCTCACTTGCCCAACTTGAGTAAAGCAGGTGTTGAAACCCTGAAGCAGGAATACTTTGGTTTCCCTAAGAAAGGCTGCTCAGGAACCTTTTCTGCCTTTGCAGGGAACTGAACCCCTGGTTTGGAATTTCGGGCTTTTGAGTTGGCCACCCAGCATGAGACCGGCCAAGACGCCATTCTTTTCTGATTACAATGTAGGCAGTCCTTTCACGGTGTAGTAGCTAAGTGGAAACTTCTCTGTCATGAAAAGTGCTTCACAACCACTCCCGTAAAAAAACAGTGGGGTTTTGTTTTATTTTTTGGAAACCACTGACTTTCAGTTGACATTAAGCAATTTATTTTTGGAGTTTATGGCACCAGATCGGACTATGATTAAAATGAGTACTTGAACAGAGAGTCTTCTAAATTATAGCCAAAAGTACAAAAAAGGAGTGAATGTTTTACTTCATTGACTACAATTCTGACTAGCTGAATATTTAAGAGAAAAATTTAATATTCCAGAGACTAAATGCTATAGTTCCATAAATAGGAGTGTTTATCTTCTCCTCTCCCCTTTCTAACATTACTGCACTTTATCTAATTTATTCTGTTGGGTTGGTAGGTTTATCGCCGCTTTTGTATGCCACCTTACTGAACTTATATATTCTCTTCTGAACTACAGAAAGAGAAGTGTAGCAAAGGCTGTTGTTAACTATCTTGATATACTTTTCTCATGAATATAAAATACTTTGAGAAAGTCAATCCCTTTGTGATTGAAACAACTTTAGAATAGAATCACTAGTTAAATGTCTTTTCAGCAGATTTTGTGAAGTGTGTGGAAGTAAAAAAATATATTGCTTCATAAAAGGCAATATGAAAAAAAAAGTTTGTTTTCCTATTTCTGCTTATCCAACATTCATTGCAACAGGATTTTTCCCAAACTGTCTAAACAGGGTGTTGCTCCTACTTTTATTAATCACCATTCAGAAGTTGTAAATTACACTTAGTAAAAGAATTTGGATTCCCTCAAAAATTCACAGTGACTCAAAGTAAAAAGTTGCGCCTGAAACTTTCTTGAAAGGAGGAATAGTTCTCAAGAATTCAGTACTGGTTCTTCCGAGAGAGTCTGGTCCAACTTCTCCAGCTGCCCACTTGGCAAGAAGCCACCTAAGTTGGCAGGAAGGCTGCCAGCTCGCCTATCCTATTTTCCTCTGACGTGATGAATGGCTTTACATCTTCTCATTAGGAACTGTTGACATGTCTCGGTTTTGTCATGCGCTACACAGCTGAACTAGCCATGATGAATCTCAAACAGCCCCCTCCTGCTTGGAAAATGCACTTATTCTGAAATGCGTTGCTTTATAATTCACGCCAGAATGAAATGGCAGCTGCATGCTTTTGAGAATAACTGTGTCCTATACCAACTCGTGCAGAGAGACCAAATACGTTCTGGGAATGCAAAGCTCTGATCAAGAATCATGACAGAGCTGTCACTTATCAATATTTTGCTGTCTAAGGGCATAATGAAGCAATGCAACATAAACTGACACTTCTGGGTACACTGGACTGTGTGATTTGTTACATTATTATTTAGCTCTGACTTTCTGAAAACTAGAGCATTTGTCAGCTGACCTAACAAAAACTTGCTAACACAATGTTGAAATCACAAGTGATGAACGACAATCCTTGCCTTTGGGTCTGAAAACATATATTTCGAAAAAGAAAAATCTGAAAGTTTCTGGAAGCTTAAAGACAAAGTTTGTTGCTTGGAGACAGCAAACAGCAGGCCTAGATGGCTCAAGTGAGCCTTGTACCCACAGATGTTACCATGCCCGAGTTACGGCTCCGCTTAGTCACATACTTTCAGCACACTGATTGTCCAGTGACAAAACCCCATAACTAAATTCATTATGGGGCTCTGGTCACGTTGCCTAGTGATTAAAGTGATTATGATTAAAAAGTGTCCTTGAACATCACTGGATGCATGTGCACACATACACGAGGCTCCTCAGGACACAAAGCTCCCATTCAAGTCAGCTTGGTTTTTGTGGAAAACCTGCACTTATTTGAGCAATTCAATCCGTGATCCATTTGACATAAACACAATTGACCCCCCCACGCAGCAGATGGCCAGTAGAGACAGGTGAGTGGGGGTTTGTGCTAAGCTATGCTGAAGTATTGTCTCCTAAAAGATAGCAAAATCTGAAACTGTGAATGTACAGACAACGAGAAGACTTAGAGCAAGTATGTCTGTTGATCAACACTGAGAGGTAACCATATGCTAAGGCAGAATGGCCAGTGTACCTATGAGACACTGAACATCAGCTAGCAAAAAAAAAAAAACAACACAAAAAACCAACCCGAAAATTCACCTCCGACTGAAAACATCCAAACAAATTAGATGGTAAATCTCAGTTTCCACTTTCAATCTCAGGATGCTGCTGTTTCATTTTTTCTGTTAAACTAGATTTATTGGAACAAGTAAGTATTAGACAGGAATAATAACCAAAATTCATGATGCAGTAAGCCATATTTCATTTCATTTTGTTGCAACATCAGAAATACTCCTTTTGCCTGACAGTAATAAGTCTTAGAAGCAGATGGACTCTTAACTGCTTATCATCAGATCAAAGTTTTGTTTGCCTGGCTGCATCATAAATAAACAATTTCCTTAAAAGGAAAACAGCTTTTGTCATTTGCAAATCTGCTAACAAAAGTCCAGAAAAGCCATATGAAAGTACTATTTGCAGATTTAAAAAAAAAAAAAAGTTTATTAAGAAAGATTGTATCAAAAAGATAATGTGATAAAAACACTGGCTTCCTGATACAGGGTTCTGAAACACATTGATGTGTTTCTCAGGGTCATCTACAAAAAAATGCAGCAAATTCTGAAAGGATTTCCCCCAATGTTGGGAAGAAAAAAAAAAACAAACAAACCCAAAACCACCAATGCACAACAACAGTACAGAAAATCATTAAAACCTAAAACACTTGCAGGACTCTGAAAACAGTATAGTGTAGATCCATGCTTTTCACAAAACTACGATCTGTGAAAAATAAGCAACTTAGTGATCTCAGGAGTACTTCACAATCACAAGACAGTATCTTCCATCTGATATTGCAATTACTAGGCAAAAACTGAGCGAAACTCTTCAGGCTGCTTCCTGTGCTACAAAACCCATGGAACGGCACTGTGCTGAGTTGCAGGGTATGTATGTATCAACTTGAACTTGTCCTAAATTGAATGTCCTTACACTGCATCTTAGAGCACAGCGAATATAACCAATAACAACTAGACGAGCTATCTACTTAATATCGAAAATCTAGCTTTTTAGTGTAATACATGTAAGATGGCTGATAAAGAATTAGAGGAAGACTTACTCAAATGTAACTATCATTATGAACTGTACTTTGTAAACTATAAGGACTTCAGTAATTCTGCAGGAAGTCCATTAGCTTATTTTACTATTCCAGTGAATAGAACACATTATTTTTTTTTTTTCCCCAGAAAGAAGTCACTGTTTGTGCTTGGGGTTATTACAATGTCAATATTCTTCCCACGTTAGTACTATGATTAACACAGTGATTTCATACTCCACAGAGGCAAAAGCTGTGTAATCTCAGTATTATCTATGACGAAAGTAAATGTTGACTTTTTAATCTGCAACATTATGTGTATCTGTATGCATCAAGTACATACACCCAGTGGTTGCCTTTAAAAAGTCATAATTTGCCAACAGCTGTCACACAGAGATGTCAAATTACCATCATTTTCCCAAATATTTCAAAAAGGAGATCTCTGCAGTCGTGTGGGAAGACTGGGAGGTACTTGCTTTTTTCTTTTCTTTTTTTAATAGATTTTTCTGTAGAAGTGCACAGCAAGCAACTATCAACAATGGGGAGTAAGTGGTGCAGTTCCACACATTTTGCTAATTTTAAACACACAAATCACTTCTTTCACCAACTGAAAGTTAAACATCCTATTTAAATATAATCTACTGAAGTGTTTTAATGTTGTAAAGTGCCACAAAGATTATGGGAATGGCACAGAAAACCCCACAAAGCATTCCAACTATGGGGACAAAAGTTTATTTATTTCAATGTATATACTGTCCCTAATCTTGAGTTCCCTTGACCGTGGGGCCACAGGCAAAACACACCACACAAAGCATATTCTTTTGCTCGCTCTCTCTGCACAAGTAAAGCAGAGGAAGGAAATGAATGGCGAATGAAGTGCTTGCCTTTCTTCTTTTCTCCCCCAGAGAGTAGGGTCCCTCTAGGTTAAAGTCATTGGTAGGGCACAGCGAGCACGCCCACTGTACAGCCTTCAGATATTACCTAACTTTCACATCAGGGATGTACAACAAAGCACACTCTCGGCTGATAATCTCCTTGAGCTGAATATCACATTTAAGAAAATGAAAAATGCATTCATCCATGTTTCTCAAGCTGGTTGTTAAATGTGTCTGTGACTGTAGGCTGTCATCCCAATTTTCTAATATTAGCTGTCAATCCACAAAACACGGACATGATGAAAAAGGTATTTTTAGCACACAGAAGCCAACTTAAGCTCCTTTATGTTTGGTCATTTGCTTTTCCAATGCTTTTAAATTAGGAGCTCATTCGTAGGAGGTGAAATGTGTGCACTTCAGATAGTGTCTATCTGTAGCTATTTTTCCTACTACTCCCTCCTGACAAACTTACTTTGGTTTCTCTCAGCAGAAACTGCAAATCCCGCCCACTGAGTATACCATGGTTTTTGACGTAGCCAGGGATATAAATAGTGCTTGTCCCGTGAACAGTTCCATGGACTTCCATATAGTTGTGGATGATGTCCAGGTAAGCCTTCTTATCCTGCAATAGCAACAATAAAATATTTTCAGTTTTTACACATTTCAAGCAGTAGTGTTCAATCAGAGCTGTTTTTTGTCTCCTGTACCACAAAAGCCAGAAAGATAAAAAATTCACTCATTCTTATATGATTTCTATAATATTTGATCTTTCATTACATTATTAGTTTTGTTTTCTACTAGACTGGAAGAAAACTGCAGCTTTTTTATTCATAGTATAGGTATAAATAAATCAATAACAAGGTCTTATTAATTTCTAATTGGACAAAAACCAGGTGACCATCCGATAGCTGTAATCTCAGCATGCCTAAACAATACTTGGCCTAAAAATACTAAAAAACTCATTTTGAAATATCAAATTTTCACTCTGTTTTTGTCAGAGATGCAAAATAATTATTGTTTCTCTTCTTTGTGAAGAAAAGGGTGAATCTCACCCTAGTAAGATGCACTCTTGCCACCTGAATAACTGAATACACATCTTTATCTAAATACCTAGTATGAGTCCCATAAGATACTGACAAATATTCCACTTACATAAAGTTTTAAAGGCATTTTGGAAAAGACGAGAAGAGTAATGGCTTTAGTGTTGCATTAAAAAAAAAAAAAAAAAAAGTACACCATCCTAGTTTGCAAACAAGAATTACTTTAATTTTCAATGCCATATGTTTTTTGAGTTTTAAAGACTACTAGCATTCCAAAAGAAATTAGCTGTAGACTATATTTACAGGCAGTATGCAGCACAGATCAGAGAGACTTTCCCTCAATATTTGCACATAGTCTTAGTAATAGCTCTAAAATCAGGCAACAAGTTTCTGTACTTCTTGGCAGCAAGAGAGTTTTTAAGAATTCTACTTTCACTCACTATTTTTGTCATGTAAATTCTGTACACTGTTCCTTCACAGCCCAGTGTGAAAACTGGCCAACAATTTTACTGCAGTTCATTCAAAGGGCCAGTAGACTGGTGAAAATCCTGCCTTTTCAAATCTTGGAGGAGCAATACGGTATCAGGCCTAGGTGAATGAACACTATCAGTTCTTAAAACTTCCTTGCTAAATTAACTATTGGTATACATTCGAATACACAGGGTATTCAATGTCATGTAACAACTGGCTTCTAGCTTTAGTTTGCTCTACTGGTGATACTGTCTGGGATGAAGTAGGTTGCCTGCCTCATTATGAAATCGCCCTGTTCTGGTAGCTACGCCAAGGCTGCATCAGTCAGGCAATGTCCTGGGCTAAGTATTATATAAAACAGCAAACAAATGGAGACAAATGTGCTTTCTTGTTTGATGTGGTTGCTGTTATTGTTCATTAACACAAATGATTTAAAAAACTAAAAGCTTGCTCCATTTTTCATTTTTCCTTTTACTTCAAATTTGAATTACTCTGAAAGAGATGTTCCTCCCATTATTTGTGAAGTACCATAATTAGAAACCGTTGACAAGCTCATATTCCCTGTTAAGAGAAAGTCCGTTGTAGAACTTTTTCTTTGCAAATGTGCAGGAGAAACGTAAATAGCATAGCCTGGTCTTGTTTCCAGAATGGAAAAAAAAAAAAAAAAAAAAGTGGTCTGTTGCTGGAGACGCACCTTAATCCTGCCTGCCTGGCTTTCTGTACAAACCCAGCCTATGAGCTAGGCTTTAGTGTTCTGAATGGGAAGAGAAGGCAATGAAGCACACGTACTGCTGACATGATCTGCCTACAATAAGAACACTAACGCACTTGCCTCAGATTTTATGGGCTCATATCACACAAACTGATGACATGAATGCACTCTAACTCAAGAAAAATAGGAGAAGCAAGCAGCTAGAAAGAACAAAACAAGGATTACCTAAAATTGCACTTACTTATTTTAATGATTTCAATGACAATTTTATGAACCTGTTACAGAATATTTAGCTGCTCTAAAATAAAATATTTGTCATTAAAATTATTTAGTCTTTATAGTCTTTCTAATGGTTCCTGAGCAACTGCATTATTAGCTGTAGGACTGTTGAAGATTTTACATACGTTCAAAAAGCAATTAGGGAAGAAAAATCCATGAATCATTATTGAACAGAGACACACAACTTTTGGCCCAAGAAGTCCATGAACCACTTGTCTCTGGTGGCTGTGCAACATGCCTGATTACGCATTCTTCCTTACACATCAAGTTTGGGCTATTTTTGGAGTCAGAATACTGGACTAGACAAATCTTTGATCTGAACTGGCCTTGCTGCCATCTTCTTATCTTTATTAGCTCATTTTCAAAGATGAATGCAAAATGGACCAAAAGAAACATAACATTTTCACGTCTCCTGTTTATATGGGATGCCAATAAAAATCTAGTGGGATTCTGAGAAGTATTGTGAAGTTCATTGCTTAAATTCTGATGGAAACACTCTTTGATACATACAATGGACCTTGAATTTAGCCCAAAGTATTCCTCAAATCATCTTGTTAATAACAAAGTGAATCTTCCTACTATATCCATGTGCTGTCTATATAAATACCAGCACTTGATGGCTACAAAACAGGGAATATAGGATTAAAAAAAACAAAAAGGAGTATACTAAGATAGGATGAAGAGAACAGGCTTCCGTGCTGTATTTACAGTAGTATTTTTGGGGGGCAGTTTTTACTTAAACCCTTAAAGTTACAAAACCATGTAATAATATTACTAATAAATTCGAATTAACTGAGCAGACATACAAATTATATTTAAAATTAATGTATAACCGATCAACACAATTTAGGAAGACAAAGCAAAAGCAGTAATAAAATCAGCATGTTTCAAGCATCTCTGCAAGTGCAAGCAAAACATTAAATTAACTATCCATAACCTTAATTGGGAACATTACTTAACCATAAGACTGACTTCTTTCCTGATTCAGATTCTAAAACCACAGATAAAAAAATCTAGTATCCCAAACAGCATCGATCCTTCCATCCGTAATATTTAGAAAAATAACGGACTTTTAAATGGTGTCACTGGGTTTTCACCTCCACAAGATACAGTAACTACTGTAGACGGCGCTATAGAGTCTATAGAATTTATTTTTCCTCACAAAGGAAACCTTATAGATAGATAGGCATAAGTAAACGGATCAATACGTAAAATTTGTATGAATTAGTTTTCAAACCAAAAGAGTAAAAACATGAAAACACAACACACACAAGCTGGGAAAAAGCTTTCATCCCCTAAAGGGCAACCCTCTTTTAATCAAATGAAATTTTTAAAGAACAACTGGAACCGAGAGCAGCATCTTCCCTTTGTTCCCTGTACGTAAAACAATTGCTCTTAATTCTTCCAAAAGTCTTTCTTTCTGAAGGAAACAAACAAAAAGCCCAACCAAAACCTCAGAAAGCACAACCCACAAAACAATCACTCCTTTATTCCCTTATTCAACTTGAGTCAAAAGCTACTGCTTTCATAATCATCTATAAAAATACCGTCAGCACCTTGTACCTTACACAAATCTCACTAACATTTGTCTCCTTTTCCATTTAAGTAGTTCTGAAGTTCCACATTCCTTGTAGAAAAGTATTATTTTGGATCATGAAAGTATATATTGCAATCAGCCACTTTACAAAAATAATCAGAGCACATAATTCAATTCTAGACATTAAAAACATTGAATTAGAAAATGAGAGAGCGTAAATATGACATTTATAAATAGAAAGGCTACAAGTAAATAAATCAAGAAATGTGATTTGCAAACAAAATATTAACATTCCTTCAACTGTTAATCCACTTCCTGAGTTTGCTTGCTTGGGTGCTTATATAAATATTCCTTTATCTTAAATCATTTGACAGTAAACGCCAGATTTTTACTTTCTTCAAAATGAATTCAAAGAGAAAAGATCATGGGCTGCTGGCTAGTACTGTAAAATCAACATTCTCTGCAGAGTTTGGATCAGACTGCGCTGTTCAGCCATGTCTGCTGTCCACACTGCAAATCTAGACTTCGAGCATGGAAGATAACCACATAAAAAAAAAAAAGCAAATTATTTCTCCTCAGAATCAAAATGGAAGAATAACGGTGAGTAACAGTCATACTAACCTTTTCTGAAACAATTTTTCATCAGCTAAAATAAATATGCCATTCAGGAAAGTACTTTTTGTTGATCATTGACTGCAGAACTGTTATTACTGTTCATCAATTATTTCCACCTACTTTTAAAAGATAGGCCTTTCTCATCAAAGAAATGAAGTGACAACTGTCTGATAAGTCTTTCCCGAAGACCATGGTGTTAAGAAGCCAGCCTGGTGATAAGAAGACAGTCTGAAGGGCTGGAATTTTAAGTTTGGTGGGTGAAAAATTTAAGCATAAAAGCTGCAGAAGTATGTGGTAGAAACACGATGCATTAAGAACTAAATTCAGCTTTTAGTTTTCTGGATGCGGTAGATGGTGGTAATTAACAACTCTGCTTCACCATCAGTTTGTCAGTCCAAGGTTATCACAGTGTTTTGCAATTTTAGACCATTCAGGTACCCTCACTGAACACCAGAAATTCAGCACCAAGTGCAACTAAGCACCACATATGCAGAACTACAGGCCAGCAACATCACAGAAGAGTTCGATTCAGAGTCCTAAGCTGGTTTATGGGTTGAAAGTTCAAACTGCAAAATGTACGTAAAACAGTTCATATACCCAGCCTCACTTTCTTACATTGAAAAAGCCAGAACACAATGATTTTATAAAGCTTGGACAAACATAACACAGAAAAATAGGTACTGGGAGAGATCTTTGTGTATGTCGTAAATGCATACCATTAAGTCTAGCAGTCCTAACATCTGGGTGCTTATTTGCCAAAGTGTCAGTTATTTAAATTGGTAAGCCAAAATCCAGTGTGTATACACAGTATATGACAATTGAGATTGAGACGCAAACATAAGATCGGAAAAATCTCTCTTTTTGAGAAGTGTCACTCTCAGACTTTTCAAGACATGCTTGAATAATGAAAATCCTGTCTACTGAGGAAACTAAAAGACAACACAAATGCGGAAGAATTCAATGTACAA